GTACTGTAGTACTGTAGTACTGTAGTACTCGTAGTACAAGTCTCTTCTCAAGCGTCACGTGTCTGTGCTGCCCAGGCTCGGAGGAGGACCACCACTCAGATGGAGCTGCTCTACGCCAACTCGGACTCGAACCCTGACGCTCCGCCGGCAGACTTCTCTGGTCCGATGCTGCCTTTAGCTGAAACCCCTGACGCCGTGGGGGACGTGGAGACGTCAGGCTCATCAGTCAGGGACTTCACCGCTCTCTCTCCTGGCTTTTCCTCTAAAATGGGCAGCATGTAAGTCCAGCCCCGGCTCTGTTGGCTAACACTTTTTACTGGCACTTTCTGACCACCTGCGTGTTCGATGCTGCGTCTTCTGCCTTCTTTTATGTCCTTATACATTAGCTGTGAGTTTGCCTCAGTTCTTCTCACTTCATTTGACTTCACCCTGTTTAGAGTTTCACCCAGTTTAAAGCATGGAGTAGACGTATTAACATCAGCATGTCTGTTCAGACATCACTGTCCTTCTCACCACTCCCTCACTGCACCACATGTACAGTAAGAAATCAAACACTAACCCCTTTAACCGCTCTATGAACGGCTGTGCTTCAAACCAGAGTCCGCTCCGCTGATGTAGTGTAAATATTTATATAAGAATAGCACAAATACTGAGTAGTTAGACATGAGCGTGACGAAGAGCCACCTGGTTTTTGGGGACTTGACCGTAATCTCAGGTAACGGTGTTTCCTCTGTTTACTGCATGCCTCCGTCTTATTGTTGTTATTTCTTTTTTTTGTTGCTTGCATAAATGTCCCTCATTTGTTTATTCATTTTTTATTTTTTTTTATTTCTGTGCACTTGTCTTTTGTTGTCCGTGGGTGAAATGATGAAACTGAACCCTCAGTTCTGGCTCCAGAACTTCACCTGGGTTGGAAAAGCGAACTCCGGAGCCTTCCCCGCTCTCTCGCAGGAAGACCTATGACAAGGCGCACGCAGCAGCTGACAGGGCAAAGGTCAAGGAGATTAAACAGTAAGAGCTGGCTGCCGGCGCTGTGGCTGCAGAGCTGCAAAAAAGGAATAAAAAAAAACTGCAAAGAGCTTCACAACTAACGATTCTGTTTTCTTGACGTCCTGCTTTGACGACGGTGCATGTGAGGATGAGAACGGCTCAGTGCCTGGGGTGACAGTGGACAGTGGTCAAGTTCTATGCTGAATTTACACCTGGATTTACTCCTCCTACTTTTTGAACGCTCTGATCATTAGTTACATAATGTGTATATATTTATATATTATACACAATATAATAGATGGTATTTTAAAGTACTTCAATTTGACTCAAATTCAGTGTTCAACTTGACTCAACTGCAAATGAGTTTCTCTGCTGCTGATCCTGTGTTTGTAAAGAAGATCACAGTGGGACTGTGGGACAGAGAATGAGCTGAGTCGCCACAAACCCAGGTGTGTGTGTGTGTGTGTGTGTGTGTGTGTGTGTGTGTGGCTGCTGGGAAATGTTAATGAACAGCAGGTTGTTATTATACTCTGTGATTTTAAAGGCGGCAGCGACCTTTGTTTGCATGATGTGCAAGTCTGTGATCCTGGCTGCTGCAGTTACAGTGTTTGGCCACTATGCTGTGACAGCACTACACAGAAAAAGTTAATTAGACAAATTTTCACTGAGTTTGACGACATTGTTGTGCCAGTTTAATCTGATGTTCTGGGATGGATGTGTGGAACCGCCCGTTGCTGTGGCGTGAACACTTGAAGTCCATGAATAACCACGTTAGGACGACGTCAGATTGTGGTCGATTATAACGTCTACGTCTAGACATAAAAACTGTAGCTAAAAAATGAGGTGGTGACATAAAACAGCCAGTGTCTTTATCTTAGTTTATTTTCCTTAAAATTCAGTAGAAATAAAAAAAGGGCTCAGATTCCAGATTAAAAAAAAAATACAAAGAAATATTTAACTAACAAACCCACATCAGTCCAATGATTCTCCACAGCATCATATGACGTAGATGAAGTGAACGATCTGTCGACAGATGCTCCTGTGTGTCATGATGGCGACACATGCCTCTCCCCTCTGTCTCTCTGCCGTGATGTTGACTGATCATCAGCATCATATGACGTAGATGCCTCTCCCCTCTGTCTCCCTGCCGTCCTCCCTCACTCTCACCCTCGGTGTGTAAACAGCTCAGCACACACTCTGATTACGCTGCTGCTGCTGCTGCTGCTGCTGCTGCTGCTGCTTAATTGGCAGCAGCTCCGCTGTCGTCCCGCTTCTCCCCGTCCTGGGGGTCAGTAGACCCGAGGGGCGGCCCCTGTGTTGACTCTCTGTCCCCACAACAACCCAGTCAAACATTAGAGTGTCCTGGCCACACAGTACAGTGTCCCAGGTTCTGGCCAGAGTGATGTAAAGGTGACAGCGGCCTGTCAGAGAGCCACATTATTTCTACAGAGATGCTGTAGAAAAACATCGTCACCTGTCAGTTTGTCGGGACATTTGGCCACTTCCTCATTTTAACTTGTTTTTCCTGTTAGTGTGGACAGTGTGGATGTCTACAGTGAGAATGTGCGAGTGTTATTTTACTGGTGGCCAATTAAAACAACCAGGCTAAGTGGCGATTCTTGGTCGTATTTCACATTTAAAACGTTGGTTGTTGGTTACTGTGCGTCAAACACAGCCCAGGTTTAATGGTCTTTCCTCCACCCTCCAGGCAGCTGCCACATATATACATATACACACATATATAGTAAGTCCTATGCGTTTCAGCTGTAATGAGCCAGGTGAAAGCAGGTCAGTTTTGTGAGTGCACACCTCATTTCTGCTCTAGTCTCCAGTTTGTCTCCCTTCCTCTCCCTCCGTCTGCTGCCTCGTCGGTCGTATCGATTATAAAATATAAAACAACACTTTCAATTTTAATGTTGAAGTTTGGATTTATTGAAAACAAACAAAAATATTTTGAAATGCAGCCCTTTTTGACACTTCAGATACCAGATATTCTTTTGCTCTTCAGGGTGAACGGATGTCTCCACTCGTCCTGCAACCACGTCCACCACACTGTCTCACGTCCACTCTTCGACCCACCCAAGTATAACCTGTTATTTATTTATTTTTTGTCGGGTGTTTTTCTGAGAATTTCACTGGTGGTGTTTGAGGGGGAAGAAGGGATGGTGAAATGTATTTTTAAAACTCAGATGGATTGTTGGACTCCAGCCTTTTGATAACACAACCTTTTACTATTTTTGGTAAAAACAGACGAAGTGCTGAATGTAGATTTCTACTGATTATGACAGAGATGTCCCAGATCAATGGATCATGTCACTGTCACAGACGGATCAGTTTGGTCTATTACCTCCATTGATCTCGAGTCGTCAATAATCATCTCTATTAAATGGGAGCTGTCATTTTATCGCAGTCCTTGTTATGTAGTCCGTTGTTTCCTCAAATGTTTTCCGCCGTAAACAAATTCCACCACTAGAGGGAGCATGGGTACCTCCAGTGGTACACTTCCCATCATTTGAGAACCACTGATCCATATGATCTGAGCACAGATGTCTGGGGCGGCAGGAGAACAATGCGTTGTTATTTGTCTCTAACGTTCGATGTGAAAAAGACGTGGACGGTGATTTGATTGATTTGATCAGAGCAGATTTAGCCGCGGTCTGTTGAATCTTTGGCCTTCACTGCTCCCCTGGTGCTGTGTTCCAATGATTGTCTGCTGTCCTCACAGTGGGTGGTTGTGTTGTTAATAATCTAGAAGAAGAAATAGCCTCTGGTGCTGGGTTACACGGTGATTATGTGACACTGACCTTTTTTTTCCTTGTCTTTCCTTGGACAAATCATCGTCGTCTATTTTTGATTTACAGCATCATTTTAATCAGCCATCAGAGGAGCATGCGGCGAGAGAAAATGTGTGTGTGTGTGTGTGCTCATTAGAATGGCTCATTTTTAGAATCCTTGATGTTGATAATGTGCTCACTTTCCAGGGGCGTCATTAACCCGGTGCCTTCCACCAAGAGCAGTCGTGCGGCGTCGCTGCAGTGCGTCCACGTGGCCGAGGGACACAGTAAAGCTGTTCTGTGTGTGGACTGCACCGACGACCTTCTCTTCACGGGATCCAAAGGTCAGAAAAAACCCCACCGTCGTCTTCGTCCCCCGTCGACTCTGCTCGTCTTCCTCTGTCATTCCTCACATACGTCCTTCGTCACAGGCCTGCTGCTTTATGGCCTGTCACACGCTGTGATATTACAGCAAATAAAACTTGATGGGGCTCAGATGTCATCTGTTCAGTATGTGAATAAGATGATGGAATTAAATAAACTGGAGATAAAAACCTGATGAGCTTTTAAGGGTTATAAATGGAGTTAAATATCAGGGCAGTCGTTCACTTCCACCACACTGGACAATATGTCAGCTGCTCTATACCAGGGGTTCTCAAACTGTGGTACGTGTCCCATCAGTGGTACGTGGGGAGAATTCATATTTTCACGTTTACATTTTCAATTGAATAAATCTGAAACACACCATGCACAATTAATACAACATTTAAACATAAACATCTTTCTAAACATGTCTGCTGTGGTGGAAGCTAACAGTGAAGGCCTACGCTGCTGTATTCTACTGTTGGTCATCATGGTGGGACTCAGAGAGCTCCGTGTTTTCTCAGGTGGTGCAGAGTATGACAGAGTTGGAGAACCACTGCTCTAGGCTGTGTTATGACTTGTGTAATACAGTAATTAACACCTGAAATGTGTCGTCCTGCAGATCGGACCTGTAAGGTGTGGAACCTGGTCACGGGTCAGGAGATAATGTCCCTGGCCGGTCACCCCAACAACGTGGTGTCGGTGCGCTACAGCTCCAGTTTAGTCTTCACCGTGTCGACGTCCTACATCAAAGTCTGGGACATCAGAGACTCTGCCAAATGCATCCGTATTTTGACGTGAGTGTGAACTGTACAGTACAGTGAATAAAGACCAGGTTCTTCACTGGTTCTGAGGTGATAGAACTGCAGTGATAGAGCAGGGATCTCTGTTATATACAATGAATAAAATGGTGTTTGAAAATAACGTAGGCTGTAGTTCAGAATGCTGAGCATATAATAGTTGTTGTTGTTGTTTATGTTAATAATATAAATAATAAAAAAACAAATCTCCAGTTAACAAAAACTTTCACATCCCTTCTTGCAGTACCTCCTTATACCTTCAGGGGTTGCTGCTAAAATGTCCAGTAATTACGTAAATTTTACCAGGTGGCGCTCCAGTTTAATTTAATGTCTCGTCCATGTGTCTTCAGGTCATCGGGTCAGGTCAACATCGGGGACGTGTGCAGCTCCAACACCAGTCGAACTGTCACCATCCCTGCAGGAGAAAACCAGATCAATGACATCACACTGAATCCCAACGGGACGATCCTGTACGCTGCTGCAGGAAACTCAGTCAGAGTCTGGGATCTGCGAAGGTAACCCTGACCCCTGACCCCTAACCCCTGACTCTATATGTTCCTCATATGGACAATAATATACTGTACTAAACTGTAGGTCCTTAATATTTACATTTTTGAATGTTTTTTTTCTATATCTTAGATTTGCATCAACTGGGAAACTCACTGGTCACCTGGGCCCTGTGATGTGTCTGACTGTTGATCAGACTGGGAGCAACCAAGAGCTGGTGATCACCGGCTCCAAGGATCATTACATAAAGGTGTGTTTATGAAGCAAATGTAAAACAAAAAAAAAAGAAGGTTAACTGGAGGGCCGTGTTGACCACGCCCCCTATATTTGTTTTCTCTCCTGCAGCTGTTTGAGGTTTCTGAAGGCTCTGTGGGCAGCATCAGTCCCACACACAACTTTGAACCTCCACATTACGACGGCATCGAGTCCCTGGTGGTGCAGGGAGACACCTTCTTCAGCGGCTCACGGGACAATGGAATCAAAAAGTGGGATCTGGACCGCAGGGACCTGTGTCAGGTACCGGAGAGGGAGGGGGGAGGGGGAAGGGGGTGTCCGTGTATTTTTTCAGTTATCTGGTTCATTTTCATGCATTCTGAAATGTTTACTGTCGATCAGGAAATCACTCATATTTGAGAGAATCAGAAAACTTTTCAGGTTTTACTGAGTTTTGACATTGTTTTCCCTTGAACCTTCTCTTCATCAGCAAGTTCCAAACGCTCACCGTGACTGGGTGTGTGCGCTGGGCGTCGTCCCAGGTTCTCCGGCTCTTCTTAGTGGCTGCAGAGCTGGTGTGCTCAAACTGTGGCACACAGACACGCTGGGAGCCCTGGGTGAACTCAGGGGACACGAGAGCCCCATCAACAGCATCGCCACCAACAGCAGCCACCTGTTCACTGCCTCAGAGTGAGACACACACACACACACACACACACACACACACACACACCCTTTCAGATGTGTTTGATTGGTCGGCCTAGAAGAAGCTTAGAAGAATCCCTCAATTGGCTTTAAACCCAGCGTAGACAGTGCCCTCTTGTGGTCAGTCGCAGGAATAACTAAACTGTCTTGGGCGTCTTAGTCATTAGCATCATAACATCAGGCTGATGTTATGGTAGTACTGCTAGTACTACTACTACTGTAACTACTGTACTGTACTACTGTGTGCACTGTAGCTGTAAACAACAACGTCCAGATGGTGAGCTCAAAATGGGTCAGAGGTGACACTGTGGTGACCTCTGACCCTGTGCAGCTGCCACTTTGACACAGCAGAAGATTCTGCACGCAGCACTGATCCCTGATCACTTTTAGCTGAAGTTTAATACAAAGCAACGAAATGACATCATTTCCTGTCTTTCTCTGTCTCAGCGATCGTACAGTGAAGATCTGGCGTGCGCGCGGTGGAATAGACAGCACCTTCGACCTGGTTGACAATACGGACGAGGTGGCGAGCAACTGACCACAGCGCCCCCTTCTGGACGGACTCTTGCGGCATCCGCTAATTTGCACTTTGACTGCGTCGCCTCTGAAGCCTGACTTTAGCTCCTCAAACACACGCATATCTCCAACACTACGCCACCTACAGGACAGTGTAGAATCTAGAATGACTAACGCAACAGCTGCTGTAGTTGTGTCTGTGCTGGTAGTCCATGTAGTAGTAGGAAACGTTTTCTTTATTTTTCTGCTTCTGTGCCGTAGTGTCCTCACGGAGAGAGCAGTTTATTTAGGAGTTCAACACAACTTCATGATGTAGTAACTGCTATGGCAGAAAACAGCGCCCCCACAGGCCGGAGGAGGAGACCGCACCAGAGCTAACCGGTTGGTAGCTGGTCTTCGCAACCAGGAACTGTTTTACCTGTACTTGAAGAAAGACCAACTTCCTATGACTGTTTTTTTTTCTTCTTCCTCACATTTATCAAGTGTCTTCATGTGAGAATTCATCATTTTCCTCCAAACGTCCACTGTCCTGCAGTGGACAGCAAACAGCTGAGGAGACGTGAGAAGATCAATAGCGCTCTCTAATCTGGCCTGTCATGTTTCAGCATGTTCAATAGAAGTCAATGGCCTTGTGCTCAGCATGGACGAACAGCCAGCCGTTAAATATGTACATAAACCTGTAAATGTTCGTGACGAGGATTTTTGTTTCTTTGGTTTTTGCGTGATTTCTATTTATGTTTGCGTCACTCTGAGCTGAGCTGAGCTCGTTGGCTGTGAGTGGTATTGATCTTCACACACTGGGGAAGAATAAATGATCTGTGTGTTCAGTGCTTCACACTTTAAGGAGAACGTTGTTCTATTTCAGTGTATGGAGTTCTGAGGGTACTGGGATTATGGTCAAGTTACGATAACATTTAATCAGTGCTGTGATTATGGTTACGTTAAGTTACGATAACATTTAATCAGTGCTGGGAAACGGTTAAATTGCGGTTTATCGTAGAATTCCAAAATGAAGAAGAATGAATTGTATTTAAAAAAGAATGGACAAAAGTTCAATAACATTTGTGTTTTGCAAAAACCTAAAACAATCTGCTCAGGTTCATGTGAGTGCTGCAGCAATTTTAGCCCCGCCCCAAATGTTGTTGTCGTACAATGCAATAGGACAATTGTGATGATGCCAGTATGAAGTCAATACTGACTAAGTGGACAGTATTCAAACCCAGTGACCATCAGACCTTCAGAATGAAGGTTGGTGTTGATAAGTTATGATGGTAACGAGTTAAACGACCAGTTAACTCACTTTGCTCTGAATGTAACACAAAACCGTTTTTCTGCTCTTTGTGATCTCGGTCCAAACATTTACACCATGATAAACATGCTCAAAATATCGTTACAAGAACAGTGCAGCTGTAATGACTTCCCGATGATATAGACCAATCATACGCCTGACTGTTCCCACACAGTGAAGTCTGTTGTTTTATTATAATGGCAGTACCTGCGGAGCGACTGAAACTACTGGACTTCTCCTTCACCACTTGTTGTCGTACGAGCAGCTTCAGCTTTTGAAAATATTCTTCACTTGTTCATGTTTGAATATATGCCTATCCACTTCACATGTTAATTAATCAACGATGTCACGCTTACTTGAAACTAAGTCGAATGCTCACCTTCTCTGATCTTCTCGTCACTGACTCGGCGTAATGCATTAGCAACAAGTGTGTGTGTGTGTGTGTGTGTTTTCCTCTTCAGACTTGGTCCAGTGTTGTGAGCCTAACCTCTTCCTCTCTTATCTGTCCGATCTTCGCGGGGCCTTTTCTGGAGACGCTCACCATCTCCAACACTCGTCCCGTCCGTCTGTGACGATTGTGCGCCGTCACTTTGTGCGATTGTTCTGTCAACGCAGCAGCAGCAGCTGTAGGAACCGTGTCTCTGCATAATCTGATGTTTGTAAACAAAGGAAATCTGACTGAATGTTTCGAGTTTTGTGGGACCACAGATCTGAGCGCAGTCTCACCTGAGGGCCAGCAGGGGGACTGAAGAGCAGCTTCATGTACGTGTGTGTCTGCGTGTGTGTGCGCATCAAAGTTAACGGTGACTTCATGTTCTGTTTTGTTGTGCTGTCCCTGTTACACACATGGTTTTAGAAGCCATTCCTGAGTGGCTGACTGTAGCTCTTCTAATGTCAGATGCCTGGTGAGAATAAACGCCATCTGTCAAAAACAACGCTGTGGTTTTCACCTCCTCTTCCTGCTCAAGTCACGACTGCAAAATTACGTCAAAAATATGCGTGGTTTTTCTTCAATCTTTCTTGCTGTGATCCAAGGTTGAAGTCAGTTAGCTACTTCTCAATTAAGAAAAAAAAGAAAAAGTTATTTGTGTTTAGTTGACCGTAACTGGGTTATTTAAATACAATTCTTTCTAATTCCAAATATTTGCTGAAGGCCTGTATCGGTCGATTGTTTGGACAATATCAGCAAAAAGCTAATAATTGACATCCTTACATATAATTATTATCTACATATTTGAATTTCATTTCTGAATTAAGAGTTTGCTTATAAAATTGTTACGTTATCATTTTTCCACCAATCTTCGGCTAACTTCTAGCCGAATTTCCAGATCTCTTAGCAATTTCTAATTTCAATTTTCTAACCCAAAAATGTTTTTTTTCCCTCTAACATTCACAACTAAAGTTAAATGTTATATAAACCTGTATCAACAGTGGACCTGGATATAACACATAACATTAAAGCTTCAACACTAACAACTGTTTTAGTTTTAGTTGTGCTGCAGGAGTTTCTCAGCGTCTGACACAGAAACAATCAGAACGTTGTTTGTTCAGACGCTTAATGAACAACATGGGAGGTCATCACGTTTGCCAGACAGAAATCTGCAGGACGGACAGATGTGTGGTGCCAATCACCGGCCACCTGAGGTGACTGTGAGTGTGTGGAGATGCCACCACACAAACACACACACACACACACACACACACAACCCTTTGACCCATGGTAATTTAAGAAAACTCAAAAACTCCTCTTCCCTTTAGTCCTGAACTTCAGACTCTGAACTACATCAGCTGCTTCTTCCTGACGACGATACACAAGAGCTCATTGGTCAGTTGCGTCCTCCTTTGATGTCGGTCGATTAATCCTCACCACAATGAAACCGCTCCGCCAGCTATTTCTCAAGATGCAAAGATGTGCTGAATTTTTACTTTGGCCTTCTGCTGCGGCTGCTGCTGCTGCTGCTGCTGCTGCTGCCGTTGCCGTTAGCCGTGCTGATCTCCAGTCCTTGGAGAGACGGCGAGTTTTTTTATCTTGCCTCAGCATAAACTGAATTTCAAACAGCTTTTTTACACTGTAGCAAAAGCAGCAAATGAGCCATTGAGATTCTCTGAAGATGCTGAGGAATTACTAATGAAGCAAATCATGTTAATCAGCGATGTAACTGCCGTTTACTTCGCTTTCCAGCAAAGATGATTGATTAAGGTTTCTGTACCCTGATGGTATAGACTCTGACGGTTTCTGGACAGTGTGGTCAGTCAGAACAAAGAAAAACAAAACTGTGATAGCATGTAATCCAGATCGAGGAGGCAGGTTTTTGTTGTTGTTTCACAGGTCGTTCCATTGAATATTAACGGTCAAGTTCATTTTATTTTGAAAAGATATTTTAGAGAAAGATGTAAACGGTATCGCTTTGGCATTGACGCATATAAATTCTGGACAATTATTTTTGCGTTGGTTTGACATTTAGCAAAATTTTAATCGCTTTTGCGTTGGTTTGACATTTAGCAAAAACAATAAGAAGAATCATTTCATCCTGCTGCTGAAAAAAAGGGAAATTCATACGTAAACAAAAATCTAGTAGTGGGTGCAGTACTGTATATTCCAGGTATGTGTGAGTAAAAACTAAATATTGACTTAGAATAAAGCACACACTCGTTTGTGAACTTTTCCATCAGATGGAAACACTGGAGAACAAATGTTTGAAAGTAAAAGATTTATCATTAAAAAGTGTCTCAATCTACTTCCAGTCTCCTCAGCTTTTTTTTTCTTATGACCAAATGAGAAGTCATTTAAAAACTAGAGCAACAATTTACCAAAATTAATTTAGAGGAAGAATAAGCGCTGATGAAAAAGTTCTGCAGCCATAAAGCTCATCTCAAATCTCATCCAGGGCTTTGACGGAGCCGTCTCTCAATCTGGAGCGACTTTATTACAGCAAATCATTTAAATGAGCTTCATCTGCATCGCTCCCTCAGCAGCTGTACGAAGAAGACGGCGCCGTACGGGGGCAGACGGGAGATAAATCAGAGCCAGTGATCCCAACAGAACTGCAGCAGAATCTGATTTGATTTTGGAACGTGCCTCTGGAGGTCGACAGACCAGACGCTTCAGTTACATGTTCTTTGTCTATCATTGAACGTTTATCAGGTATTATGTCACATAAATCAAGGATTGGACGGTGGAATGACTTGGATTCACGGTGAACATCATTCATTCATTCATTTATGTTCAGACTTTGTCCTAACTTGGAATTCTGGGTAAAATCTGGTGAGGCTCCTGAACAGAGAGCTTGATTGGAGCTGAGCAGCAGCAGCTGTGACACAGCAGCTCATCTGCAGCTTGTTTCACCATCAGTCTCCATGTGCAGGAGACGGCAGACCAGAGCGCCCTCCACTGGGCCTGATCGTGGTTCAACCCTGAGGTCGAGTCTCTCTTCTCTTCTCTTCTGTTATTTAACTGTGTTTTCTTGTGTTGATCTAACACTTTAATGGAGACATATCGTGCAAGACTGTATTTTTCCACGTTTTGGTGCCTGTTACTGAAAGATGTGGGCGGAGCAGGAAGTGGCTCGTTATCGTTTGAATCAATAAAAATCACCATCAAGAGTGTTGGAAACAACACACCTGTGAAAATTAGAGTTCTGATAACAGGAACAGTGCTACAGCAGCTTCACACGTTCAATGGCTCCTTAGTTTTGTTGTTGTTGTTGTTGTTGTTGTTGTTGCTGCTTTGCTTGTTTTTTTTAATTTTTTTATTCTTTGCAGTGGTTGACAGGTACACTGTGTTCGAGGGTGAGGGGCCTGTGAGCTTCAAGGAACTGAAACGGTAAAACAGCTTAAAGACAAAACACTAAAAATAAAATCTGCTTAAAAATCTGCTTAAATATATATATATATATATATATATATATATATATATTTAGAGTAGTTTTATTTTGTATTTTTGTGAGATTAAGATTGATTTGTTGTTGATGTGTCTCGTGGAAACAATGGTCGACAACACTGACTGTAAAATACTACAAAATCTAAGAATGTTTTTGAAAACATCACTGATTTTGGCAGCATAGAAATAATTGATAAAAAAATGTTGCAGAAAAATTAATAATTTATTCTTTTGTATGTTTTTTTTTTTTTGCCTTGTATGTGGCACGACGGCACAACATACTGACTCCACACAGATCGACCTCTAGTAAACCCCCGGGATCGAACAGTTGATGTTTCTGCTGTAAGGTAAAATCACTAACCACTTTTCCACCGTGTGATTTGCAGGAAATACCTGAACGTGTTAGAATGATATATAAACCTGTGATGAAGCTTTTCAACTGTCCCTGTGACTAACACAGAAACATCTCTCTCTGTCCATCACACTGACCACAGCTGACACGCCGACGCCATTTTTAGCTCTGCGGCTCATGCCAGGTGCTTAATCGAGTTTGATTTGCTCAGGTGGTTTTGTCATCTGTATTCAGTCTGACAATTTTCTCCGCTGTCCATTCACAGTGGAGAGCAGACTTCTCCGATCTGACCTCCTGACCCCAGGCCACAGCTCAGGTAAGAAGCCTGTTTGGGGAGGTGTTCACACCACGGACAACCATTCACACTCACATTCACACTAATGTCAGTTTAAGTTAAACCTAATCCAACATATTTGGACTGTGGGAGAAAGTGGGCGTGGTTTGGTCAGGTGACCTATAGGCGGCGCCAAAGTGTTAGAGGCTGGTTTTGGGGAACAGAAAGTTGGCAGGTTGCTAGTTGCTCCTCTTCCTCCTCCTCCTTTTTCATCTCCTTCATTTTTCCCCCACCACGTGACCCAGTAGGAGCTTTATATAAAACATTAACGATGTACTGCCACAGTTAACTCAAGAGCCAGAGCCATGTGGCTGTGTTCATAGCACCACCTGCAGGGAGAGAGGGGGACTACACATACACAGAACTCGAATAGAAAAGGAAATACACACAACTGTATCTTTATTTATATTTATTTTTTTGTTTTTTTCCCCCCCATATATATGTGGCTGGTGTGTATTTTAGTTAAAATCACACGATTGTTTACATGTTGATGTCGTCACTGGGTTCAATGATACAGTTTTTCTCCTCTTAGAAAATAGTTCACCTGGTTTGTTGTTGAAGTATTGATATTATGATTTGAAAAAATGTCATGGAATAAATTACCTCCAACACACACACACACACACACGCGGTACTGTACCCCCCCCCTCTCTCTCTCTCTCTCTCCCTCTCTCTCTCTCTGTGCGCCCTCTCTCCCAGCCTCACACACTCTCTCTTCTCTGACGCCCTGCAGCTGCAGCTCAGTGTCTTCGCTCCTTCTCTTCTCCCGCTCAGCTGCTTCGTCCTACAAACATCACCTCGTCTTCTTTCACTCTCACCCCACCTCCGGACCGCCCCATCTTTGACCCTCCGTCCTCGCTCCCTCTCCCCTCGGTTCCTCACATGTCGCCTCCACGGAGCTGGAGACGCAGGGGTTAGTGGTCGACCGAGCAGCATCAGCATCTCCAGCAGCAGCAGCATCAACAGTAGCAGCAGCAGCAGCAGCTCCCCTGAACATGGCGTGTATCGGGGACCCGGACCCTTTTACTGCCGCGATCCCCGCCACCAAAGTT